AAAAAAAAAAGGGGGGGGAGAAACACGAGTTATTATTAATGAAGGGATCTGATAAAACAAACCTTAAACTGATGAGTACTGTAATCTACGCTGAAATTATAGTGTGATGAGTGGATTCTGAGGGTTAGATGATTTTCTGGGAGCGTTGAACCTCGAAAAAAGAGATCTTTTTCAACCGTGTATTTTTTTTTTTAATAGTATTATTATTGTTCTATATTTATTTTTCCGTAGAGGGGGAGGTTGTAACTAGGGTTGTAAACAAATCAAACAATTTTTATTCGATTCGTGATTCAAATTCGATATTCGTGATTCGAATTTGAATATTCGAATTCGAATGATGTTTTAGATTTGAAATTATAACGAATTCGAATCCGAATGTGTAGATATTCGATTCGAAATTCGATTATTCGATTCGTTAACAATAATTATATAAATTTTACAAATTATATATAATATACATTTTGTTTATAATATATGTATATATATATATTGTTATATTCCTAATATTTTTATGACATAAAAATTAAAAATATCATAAATTAACAAATTTTCTAAAAATATATGAAAAATAAAATTTATTTTTGTAATTATAATATTTTTTAATTATAATATTTTTATACAAATTATACATAATATATATTTTGTTTATAATATATGTATATATATTGTTATATTCCTAATATTTTTCTGACATAAAAATAAAAAACATCATAAATTAACAAATATTTTTAAAAATATATAAAAAATAAAATTTATTTTTGTAATTATAATATTTTTTAATTATAATATTTTTTTGAAAACGAATTTCGAATCGAATCGAATATGTTCGAATATTCTAAACGAATCGAATACGAATCAGAAAATGAATTCGTTATCGAATCGAATCACGAATCGAATCTTCGAATATTTTAAACGAATCGAATCGAATCTCTGAGTATTCGCTTTGATTCGATTCGTTTACAACCCTAGTTGTAACTCAGGCGCCCTCAAATTTGTTTTTATAGTTGAGCTGATTATTGGATTTATTTTTTTATTTATTATCATTAAGTGTAAATATGTAGATTACAACTGAGTTCGGACAACCGATCAACAACGACGTACAAAAACACAATAGACAACCACAAATTGGTTCCTCATTCACGCGATAAATATATACAAGGATAACCACATGTCTGTTGCTCACTCAAAAGTCACGAAAAACAAAATGCAAGAAGGGTCCAAAGGAAACTCGATTTATTTATTTTATTTTGTACATTCGTGGTTCTTATAATTTTATTACAAAATGTTATTTTAAATTTAATTGACTAATTAAAAGAAAATAAAGTT